CCAAAATCAGTGATTTCCACTTGCTTTATTAAAAAAAAAACTTAGAGAAAAATAGCAAATTAAACTTAGAGCATAAAAAGGAAATAAAGATTAAAGCAGAAATAAATACCCTCCAAAAAAACCCACAGGAGAAACCAATTGAAGAAAGGAAAGCAAAATCATATTTATGAATCTGTTTCTAGTCTGATCAGATGAAAAAAAGTCACAAGATACAAATTCCGGTATTAGAAATGAGGGAAGTGACACTGGCACAGATTTAGCTGATAGGATAATCAGAGACACTTATGAACAATGTTACACAAATAAATTGACATTTTCTACAACTTTGATGAAATGAACAAATACTTTAAAAGACACAAATCATCATAGTTAACTCCAGAAGAAATAATCTGAATGACTATTACAGTAATTGAATTTGCAATTAAAAATCTTCCCACTGAGACAATTCCAGACTCAGGTGGCTTTACCAGTGATTAAACTGAACATTTAAGGAAGAAACACCAACTCTTTCAGAGAATTAAAAAAAAAAAAAGGAGAAATGGTTCTAAGATTCTTTCCTCTTTCTATTCGGTCTACATTATTCTGATATACAAACAATCCCTAAAACAAACAAACAAATAAATCGATAAATTAGACAAAATTAAAGCATCTTTTTGAAAAAACATGAAAAAACAAGCAATCTACTGGAAAAATCTTTGCAAAATATCCCTTATAATGGAGTTGTATTCAGAAAACATAAGAAATCTTCAAAGCTTAATAATTAGAAAATAAATAGGCACTTCACCAAGGAAGATAACACTGGCAAAAGAAAGATACTTAACTTCACTACTCACTAAGGAGACACAAATGAAAACCACAGTGAAGCTGGATGTGGTGGTGCACACCTGTAATCCCAACACTCTGGAAGGATGAGGCAGGAGTATTTGACTTGGACAATTTGGCAAGACCCTGTCTCAAGAGAAGGCTGGGGGTGCTAATGATATAGTTCAGCACAAGGACCCTGAATTCAACTGCTAGTACCAAAACCAAAATAAGACCCAAACAAACTGAAACCCTAGGAGCTACTACTACAAATCAGTGAGAATGGTAAACATCAAAAAAAATTGATCATACCAGGTACTGGCAAAGACATGATACAACTGGACTTTTCATACATTGCATGTGAGAATGTTAAATGTTATAAAACTCTAATAGGTAGATTCTGAAAAAGTTAAATACCTGCCACAAGGTGTAGCCAACTCTTTCCTCAGTACTTATCTCCCCACAATGAAAAGCCCTGAAAACCAATGTTCATAGCAGGTTTATTTTTAATAGCTAAAACTGGAAACAACCCAAATGTCCATCAACAAATGAATGTATAAATAACCTGTGGTAAACGTAGACAATGGAATGTAATTCAGCAATAAAATGAACAGGTGATACATGCCACAACATGGATGCATCTTGGAATAATTATGCCGAGTGAAAGAAGTCAGACAAAAAGGAGCACATATTTTATGATTTCATTTATATAAAATTCTAGAACATCTAGAAAACACAGCAATGGTTGCCTGGGGACAGAGTAAATGTAAGTGCTAGGTGGGAAGGGCTACAAGGGGTATAAGAAAGCTTTGTAAAGTGATGGATGTGTTTATTGCCTTCATTATGATGATAATCATATATATGCAAATAAAGTAGCAAAAACTCTGCCTAATTTTTACCTTGTAACCGGGGCAGTTAAAAGGTATTTCTGAACTGGGCATGGTGGCACATGCCTGTAATCTCAGCTACTATGGAAGCTGAGGGAAGAAAGATGACAAATTTGCAATCAGTCTGAGCAACTTAGTGAGACTTTGTCTCAAATTCAAGGAAAAAGGGGGTTGCTAAGGGTATATATAGCTCAGTAATCCCTGGGTTCAATTCCCAGTACTTAAAAAAAAAATTTCTTACACAAACACATACACATATTTACAAACTCAGAAGAGATAAATAGGAAATTCAAAAAAGATACAACTGCAACTCCAGCTGAAGACCTGGAGCCAAAAAAAAAAAAAAAAAAAAAAAGATACAACTGCAATTATTAATGATATAAAATATATGTAACTTCATTAGTAATTAAAGAATTAAAAATTAAAGTAAGATCTCTTATTTCATTCACAAAATGGGCAAATAACACAAAAAAGATACTTTTTGCCAAAACAAACAAACAAACAAACAATAAGGAAGGAAATGCTTATTTTTATGCAGTGCTGAAGACATAGAATGGGTATGCCCTTTGGCCCAGTGATGCTCTTTTGGGAATTGGTACAGATAGTTTCTGTTTTGTTTTTGGTTTAGTGCAGGAGATGGGGGTGTAAGCAGGTAGATCACAGAAGAGCTGCGAGAGAAGTGACAGGAAATGTAATTTCTTTAACCCATGAGTATGGACTTATTTGCAGCTTGTGTTTTATGTGGAGTAGATAATTTTGGGTAATGGTTACGGTTCATACATTGTGCCAACTTGAGCAGTTTAGAAATTTAAACGAGAAACTCAGCAGGGAGCCAGGGTTCTTCCTATGTAAATATCCTTATCCTTTGCAAAGGAGGGCAAGGAGATTTTGTGAGTGTTACACCTGCACAGGAGCAGAGAGGGCAGCTTGTGTATAATATAAGGGAGGAGAAGAGTTTGTTTTCTCCCTTTTGGCTCTGGCTGCTACCTTGAAGTGTTGCCCTTGTGCCATGCCACCCTGCCTTGGCGCCAGCTGATCATGGACTGAAACCTCCACAAACAGTGAGCTAAATAAACCTTTCCTTCCTTCATTTTGGGTGTCAAGTGTTTTGTCCCAGCAATAAGAGAAAAGTAACTTAGACAGTAATTTTTATTTCCTTCCTTTTGCTTATCTGAATTTCTAATTTTTTTGAAAATTATATCACTTTTGCTTTATTTTTTAGTTTTGGTACCAGGGATCAAACTCACAACCTTATGCTTACCAGGCAAGTGCTTGAGCTGCTGAGTTAAATCCCTGGCTCCTCGTTTTTGTTATCATAGGAAAAGAGAGATGAAACCACTATGGTTTGTTTGTATGTGGAATGCCTCTCAAAGGCCCATATAGTATAGGCTTGATCCTGCCAAGTATGGTGGGCCACTCCTACAATTCCAGCTCTCTGGGAGGCTGAGGCAGGAGGATTACAAATTTGAGACCAGCCAGGGCAACTTAATGACTTGGAGAGACTCTGTTGTAAGAAATTAAAAACAACAACAACAACAAACAACAACAAAATCCAACCTTGGTCCTTAGGGTAGTGCTGTTAGGAGGTGATGGAACCTTTAAGAGGTGGGGCCTAGTTAGGAGGTCCCTGGGCATGTGTCCTTGAAGGGAACCCAGCCCCTTGTCTTGTGTCTACCACAGGCTCCTGCCATGACATGCTGCTGCCTCATCACAGGCCCAAAGCAACAGAGCCAAGCAATCAAAAGCTGGAGGCTTCACAACCACGAGCCAAAAGAAATCTTTTTTTTTTATAAGTTGATTATCTGATAATTTTATTATAGTCATAGCTGAGTAACACAGAAACCATTTACATTATTTAATATCTAATTATAAAATACAACAAAAAATGGCCATTTTTTTTCCTGGGAAATTTACTTGGTAACAGGAATCATGAAACTTTAAGCCTATTTTTAAATTTTCTTTATTTTTTTTTACTGAATGTAAACTGTAATTATGTTGGGAAATACATAGTTACCTTCTCTAACCATGGCAACATATTTGCCAAGTTATAAGTTCTTTGAAAACAGTTAAGCTCCCTATAAAACATGCAGAAAAAATTTAAAAATGTAAAAACAATCCAGTTTCAAAATTCTTTTATAAAATGGACTGTATGCACAAAACATTTAAATAGAAGCTAGTGAAAAATGACAACACTTAATGAAAGTTCACTTTTGGAATCAGATGACCTCAATATCACTAAAAACAAAACCAAAGAAAACAAAAAAATACTGTAAAACATAGCCTATTATATAAGTGAATAATTTATCAATGTACCCATAGATCTCTCATGGTGCAAAATAACTTATGATCTATTTTGATTAAAGCCAGTAATATACTCTCACACTATTGTGAAATAATATATACAATTATGTCAACACACCACATTTTCTTAAAAGTCAAATTACAAATAGGTAATCCAGAGATCTACTTTAACAGTGAGTTTCTATTTATATTTTAGGATACATTTTCTATCTGTGTACTTTCTAGGGAAATAGACATAACATTTTTACATGATTTACTTATGTATGCTTGGACATGAGAAATGTTTAAAGGTTTTTGAGAATTTTGTACATTTACAAGATTTAACCCAATATGCATTATCATTTTGCCATGTTTCCATAAAAGATCATATAAAAATGAAAACAACTGAAATTCTGCATTTATACTCTCCTTTTGAGTTTTTGTATGTTTTCTGAAGTTATAGGAATCACAAAATGCTATCTTAAATTATCCACCAAGGGTTTCACTTTAGTGTTAGTTTATCTATTTTAAGATAATTAGAAAATTGAAAGATTAGCGACATTTATTACATGTCTTTGCTCCCATGTGAATTCTTTCAAATATTTCAATGCTTTGAGAAAAATAAGCCCATTTCTTTATCAAGTAATTCTGCATTTTAAAAACTATGACTGAGAATAATTAAAATGGAAATCATTTGAAATAAGCATTTTAATGAAAGAATATCTCAATTTAATTTGTATTTTTAACTTCCCTTTTTGTAATTCTTTTGTTTGTTTGTTTGTTTTTGTTTTGAGACAGGGTGTCAAATTCAAGGCTGGCCTTGAATTCACTGTGTAGCCCAGGCTGGTCTCAGACTCACAGTGAATTTCCTGCCTTGACCTCCCAAGTGCTAGGTTATAGTAATGTGCCACTTCCCTCAGCTCTCTTCTACAATTCTTGCAAAGATGATAAAAACTGAACATGGAAAAAACATGACATGCAATTTGTTCCCATTTTTAGGAGAAAACTAAGTCACCAATAAATGGAAAATACCTTTTCGTGTGTGGTACAAAGTACACTGTATCGGTCAGATTCATTTTAGCAGCAATCTTTTTTCCCCCACTTTTTATAACTCCAGTCCTCTGTACCAATGGTGCACCTATAGAGAAAAAAAGACAAATGTATAATTATAGGAGTACAATTTTTTAAAAATCGGGGATCGAACTCACAACTGCCTGCTTGCAAGGCAGGTGCTTATGCCACTGAGCGAAATCCCCAGCCCGATAGGAGTACAATTAAACACTAGCTAAGAACGGCTGTGGTGGTGCACACCTGTAGTCTTAGCTATTTGGGAGACTGAGGTGGGATCACTCGAGCACAGGAACTGAGGCCCAGCCTGGGCAACACAGCAAAACCCCACTTCTGAGAAAAAAATGAAGTAATAACTAGTATTATAGTAGTTTTAAATATCTTCAAATGTGATATTACAAAGTCAAAATTTTATTTTTATCTATAGATAACAAACATAAAAGATTAGATTTTTCATAAGTAAGACACGGGCTACTTTTTCACCAGCAACACTAGGAAACAAATGTGTCATTTGATTTCAGAATCTATACTGAGGCTTCCAGTAGTTTGTTAATATCCAGGTTAACTCAATGGAAGCTACCAGTAGACAGGACTAATCTGATAGCTGTGGTAATGCTACTGATTCTGTCAGTAAGACTTACATTTTCAATCGCTTCTCTAGCAGGCATAATGTTTTGCACTGATTCATATAACTTCTCTCTTTTAAGCTTTCCTATAAGCAGTCTCCCATATTTTTTGAGAGGGACATCTATTTTCAAATTATCTATTAAAGAAATAAATGACACATAGAGATATATGTTAATTAAAATATCTATAGTCCTATCCAGGACAAGTCACATTAATAACTGTCACACTTTTTCCACATATATATTTATATCTTCATGCTAATTTTTCTTTAGTTATATAGCTAAGATCTACACACAATGTTATAATCTATCTGTATTAAGTCTAACTCTGTATTACACGCATTTTCCTTTGTCACCAAACGCTATTCACAAAGATTATTTTAATAACTGCTTGATGTCCAGCTGTTGGAAGAGTCACAATCCATTCCCCAATAATTTCTTCATAATTGGAAACTAAGACTATATTTATTGCGATTTGAATAGTTGCATTATATATTTGTAAGACCTTTGTATTTATTACTTATGTATGTTTTGGGTACTTTCTTTGTGACAGATTTCTAGAAGTAGAGCTACTGGGTCAAAGAATACAGTCATTTAAATTTATGTATATTTGAATAAATTTTAGTTGTTTGACAAACTTTGGAGAAGGCGGCCTTACAGGTAAAAAACAAAGCGAGAAAAAAAATTACTGACTTGTATTTTCACATTTTTCTTGATGAAGATATCCCAAATCTTTCATGCTTGTAATTACAAACTGCACTTTTTCATTATTTTTTATTTCTTCTGATTCTTTCTGTGGTTGTGGAATGTTTTAGATTAATCAGTAGCTAAATTCTTCATGGACTTAGCAACACATTTTATTCAAGCATTCATCAATCAATAGCTGCAATGTCTACCTTGCTGTTGTAGTCACTAGAGCTTCAATGAACTAAAATATTCTTTATTAAATACTAGCTGCTAATTTCTAAGCAAATATTGTTAAATAGGGCACTTATTAACATCCATGCCCTGATTAATTTTAAATATGGAAGATGCTGATTTCTAGAAAAGTTCCTTCATACTAAGCTCATGCATGCTTACTGTTATCTTCCTTTCAAATGTTTATTCACTTTTATATCATTTTCTTAAAATGTATATTCTCTGCATCTTTTGCTGTATATCCCTACAAATGTTCTAAAATGAATTCCCTAAGACTTCTAGGAATCAGTCCCTTTGACCACTGCAGAATGCATTCCTGAAATTCACCTACTGAATTTAGAGGACGTCTCCTTTCTACTATTTCACTGTTTGCTGCCTTTCTTCATAAATTGTCTCTTTATCCCACGAAACTGTCTTCTCTTGTTTTTCCAAATTATTTCTGCTGTAATCCCTAAATGAAAGTGTTCCTCTAAAATGTGCTAAGCCCTCTGTGTAACTGCAAGCTGCTAACTTAACTGCTGTCTATGTAATGGTTTAAAATAACACCATGTCACTATGTGGCCCTGATCTCTGTTCTGAGCCCCAGTGCCGTATTTTAAAGTGTCTACTTGACTTCTCTCCTTGGCTCACATACATCTCATATCAACTTCTATTCTTCCCTTTCCCTGTCCCTCACAATTACTTTATCTCCAATTCTGCTTCAAATATTTCTTTGTGTATGTTTTTCACTTTCCATTTCTGTGACATTCATTTTTCTCTCTCTTTTGCTATTCTGCTATCTTTCCTAGAACTCATTTTAAAAACACCATTACCATAATAATCTTTCTAAAGCACAGTTAAGATAATATCACATCTCAACTCAAAATCTTTCAAAGTTTCTCACCTTCTTATAGTATACATAACTTTACCCAACAATCAAAGCTAGCTTCAAACAACTACTCTAACCTAAATTCTAAAACTCAATTAAAAAAGAATTACTACTCTATTACATGTGCATACATATTTTGCATTTCATTTTACACTCTGTCTTTGCTTCTGTTGTTTCCTTTGTCTACAACATCTAAATCCCAATCACTCTTACAGTCTAGCAAATGTTACTTTTTCTATAAAAATCTATGATTTTCTCTGTTGGCTTCAGTTTTAAAACACAGGTATTATTTCTTAATGGATGTGAAGTGCTTCTTCAGAGTGAGGTATATGTCTAAGTCTGTGTTTAACTGATTCTTGTGTCTTCTGTCATCTTTTTAAAAAACTGCTTTACTGAGATGTAATTTACATACATAATTACTCATTTAAAGTGAACAGCTCAATGGTTTTTATTATATCATAGATATATGCAACACTCATCATAGTTATTTTTAGAATACTGTCAGAACCACAAAAAGAAACTGTATCATTTAGCCATCGTCGATCTATTTCTTCCATTCCTAAGCACAATAATCTGCTTACTGTCTCTACAGATCTCCTATTCTGGATACTTCAACAGAACAGACTGTGTGGTCTTTGGTGACTGGTTTCTTTCACCTACATTATGTTTTCAAAGTTCATCTGGTGTACAGCATGAATCACTGTTTCACTTCTGGTTACTGGCAAATAATGCTTAGCTATATGAATATAACATGTTTTGCTTATCCATTCATCAGCCGACAGGCATTTGAACTCTTTCTTCCTTTGACTGTTATGATTAATGCTGCTATAATTATCTGCATACAAGTTTTTGTGTGGACATGTATTTTCATTTCTTTTGAATATACTCCTATGAGTGGAATCACTGGGCCCCATAGTACTTTTTATGGTGCACATACTTCATTAAAATCTGTTGAAATCTCTTCTCTTTTCCATTTCACTCTTAGAACTGAAAATGATAATTCAAATTCATCCTCCTCCCACCACCAAACAAGGATATTTTTCCAAGAGGACACCATTTTAAGAACTGAAATGATATGCACAAAAACATTTTACCCCCTCTCCTTGACCTCTTACAATCTCAAGTATTACATTAATAGTGATAACTTAGAACTGTGCCAAGAATGTAGTCTTTCAGGTCTTGGGCCCTTGGGCCAACTAAACAACCCAGCCAGCTTAAAGTAGATTTCATCAGAGACGTGCAACTGAAATAATGTTCTTCACTCTTTATTCTCAGAAGTGGAAAACTTCCAACACAGTAATCAAGTAAATTATTTTACAGACATTATAACTTAAGAAAGGATACTTGGTAGAGTTTCCCTCTTCCAAGAAATGTTTGAGAAAGATGATTCATGGGGGATTTTAGTTCCCTTTCAATGTTTCACCTCGAGAATACCAAACCAGAAGCCAACTAATGTGAACACTTCAGCCTTGAGAGAAAGAGTATGAATTAGAATGTTTCAAGTAGAAAAGAATTTTACAGACAGTTATTTCAATTTCTTTCTTTTTACTTTTGTGTGTGTTTACTCTAAATTTCAGGAAAGTTAAGTGTTATATCACACCTGCATAGCAGTGTAACCTATAACTGAAACCCAGGAGTTGTGATTTTCCACTCTGGAAGACTTTCCCCTGAATTACACTGCCTAAGCCAGTCTTCAAAACACCAAAAATTGCTGTTGTGGAGGGTGATAAAGAAAATTTTAATATAATGTAAGATTGGATTTCTGTGTCATTATTTTCCCCGAGGTTGTTTGTACCACTTAAACATACAATGGTGGATTCGATTCTTATGAGGACTGGAAAAGGCTGGCTGTGTAGCTAAGCAGTACAGAACTTGATGAGTATGCACAAGGCCCTGGGTTTAATCTTCAGTCCCACCAAGGGCAGTGGTGGCAAACCTAAGGCACATGTGCCACAGCCACCTGCTTCCTACCACTGAAAGTTCTCAAAGGTTTGCTGTCACTGCTATAGGTGCATTTGAAGGGGCTGGTGCAAACCTAGGGGTCCTAAAACATACTTCATAATAAACCAGCCTGAAGGAGGTATAAAAGCTTGGTTTTACAATAGTGAAAATGAAGTCCACAAAGGTGATGTAATTCTTTCAAAGTCACATAGTAAGAACTGTCCATTGTTACCCCCTTCCAACTGTTTCCAAATATACAACCTCCCTTTCAGACTTGAAAATAATTACCTTTAAGAAAGTAACAAAACTTTTTAGTTAGCTGCTGCTCCTGTCTGCTGCCAATATTTAACTATTATTTTGAGTAAGAAACCTGCTGCTATGGTACTCTAACTTTGAAAATGAAACTAGATGATAGTTGTTTTTTATGCCACCATAATCACACCATTTTGCTCATATATCATGGCATTTGAAAGCTGAATACAATAATCTAAATTTTAGTAAGTAAATGTAGAAGTGGCCAGTTTTATTGATTACCATAATGATAATCTTTAGACTATTTCTGTATCAACTGATATTAAATTCCATGAAGATTTTTCAAATTATTCTTTAAAACTTTATGTATGCTGAAAAGTAAAACTATCAATTGCTTTGACTTACTACAGAATATTACTTTTTTCATTCTGTAAAAAAAGTTTAGGATGAGAGACAGAAAAGGAA